TGCCACGTGCGGACACAGCAAGAAAGCGGCCATCTACCAGCCAGAAAGAGAGCCTTTCATAAGAACTAAATCGGCCAGCACCTTGATCTCGGACTTCCCAGCCTCCGGAACTGTGAGGAATAAATTTCTCTTGTGTGAGCCCCCAGTGTGTGGTGTTCTGTTAGGGCCACCCGAGCTGACTCAGACGGGGACCCAGGGCCTCTCTTTTTTCTGATGGAGATTAATAAACTGCTTCTAACTATTCGACTCCTTCCCTTTCTCCATCTTCAAAACAGAACAAAACGCAAAAAAGAATGCCATTGATTATTTACTGCGAGACGTGTTTCAAGGCAATTAGTTGTCTGAGTTCCCTTCAGGTTGAGCAGGGATGGCTCTCTTGAGTCCCTGCTGGGGGTGGGGGCGTGGATCTTACCCAGCCCTTGTCCTGGGCAGCCCTGAGAGTGGCTTGGAACGGGATTCTGGAGAGGGCGGGGTTAGGAGGGAGGCCTGGGCGTGGGACACACTTGTGCCCTGAAACCCATCGTTTAAAGACCACGTCTACCCTGACTTTCTCTGGCCACTCAGTCATTTTCCTTTTAGGCTTCCCCCTTCTTCTTGGTGCTCATTCTTCTTGCAAAATAACCACGAGGTGGTGGGTGGCGGGGGGGGGGGGGGTTGCTTCTCTGCTGAAGGTGGCGCCCCGTGCAACTTGGGAAGTAGGGGCCAGGGGGTGAGGGAGTAGGGAGGAGGTGTGGGGGGAGCAGACACAGCATCTCTCCCTGTCCCTGTCCAGTGTCACTGTAGCTGCCTGGTCCCCGCCAGCAAAGGAGGCGGCAGACCCTGCAACTGAACACTCTGTTCTCCTTGCTGTTACATTTGAGATGGAAAATAGAAAAAAAAAAAATAGACAATAATCATATCGAGAAGTTGACTCTGCCCTGCCTGTCCTTTGGTTGGTGTGCGAGAGATGGGGCAGAGGATGGATTCGACGCCGAGGGATGCTGGGGTGAGGTGGATCTTGACCTTCTGTGATGTCGAACAGCTCCCTCTGACTGTCCTGGGCTCTGTCTCTGCCCTTGGCTGGTGTCTGGTGGGCTGCGCCTCCCCCAGAGCCCCCTGGCAAAGTTCTGCAGGAATGCTCTCTCCTTGACTGCATGCCGAACGGGAAGCTAAGAAAGTGGTCCCACTTGGGGTCCAGTGAAGGTTATCTTAAGAGGAAGGTAACATTTTAAACACCCGTCATCCACACCTAAAGGGAACATGGAAAGTGGGAAGCAGAGCGATGCAGGTCTTTCCCTCTGTTTTGAAGCAAATTGGGTTACTCTCTGCCGCTGGGCACCCCCCTCCAATTTACAGAGTGGAATGTATGGGGGAGAGAGCCTTTTGGAGATAAAGCGCCTTCCAGTGCCGGCTCCAGGGGGAGAGGGAGATGGGATATAAATGAGGGAGAAGCCCCAGGTCCTGTCCCGAGTTCTCCAGGAGAGCTGAACGCACAGAATCAAATTGGAGGGGGCAGGACAGCAAGGGGGAAGCAGCAGAGAGGAGCCTGGGAAAGCCGCGCAGCCCCTGCTGATGGGGCACCCACCATAACTGCACGGTCTGCAACCTCTCATTACACCGCGGGTGGTGAGAATGAGGTCATGGTGTCTGCAAGTGACTCTCCCAGTAGTGAGCCCCTCTCAAAGGGGCCAGGCTCCCTGCTCAGCCTGCTTTGGGCCAGTGAAACTTGGGCAGGAAGCAAAATCAGATGCTTCCCTTCCTGGGGGTATGTGTACAGGCTGAGGCCAGACAGGACCCTCTTCTCCATCCCAGATGGCTGGAGACAGAGCTTGCTAGAAGAGCTGCCCATAGGGTACCATGCTCTCTGCGGGGCAGACAAGCCTGGAGACTTCCAATCCCAGAAGAAAGCTCCCTGACCTCTGCTCCCCAGTTGATGCCCTGCCCTGGCCTTCGGGGATTCAACTCCCTGAAGAAGTTACACGGGGCTGGTTGTGCAACCCCGTGTCTCTTCTCACAGAGAGAGCAAACGCTGTCCAGAGCCCCCGGAGCTCCTGCAGAAGTCTGGGTCTGGGGACCAAGAGGGTGGAAACCACCAAGCTTTCAGATCATTGTGGTGATGTGAGCTCCCACCTCTGAGAACCGAGATACAGCTTTCCTGCGGTCTCCCGGCTGGTTGAGGAGGAGTTCTCAGCAAATCCAGCTCTCAGGCCCCCTCTGTGAGTGAGGAGTGTAACAGCACCCGACTCACCAGTCCCGCTCACCAGCTGTGCTCCATGGTTTGCAAGGGCCTGAGCTCCAGGTTGGGAGCTAAGGACACTCAGGTGCTGTGTGACGTCACACAGCTGGGCATCCCCAAGAAGCCGGCAGTGGCCTGGCCACCAAGGGAAAGCAGGGCTGGCCATCCTCAGGCCACCCGTCCCAGGAGCCCTCCCATTTACCAGCCAGCCAGCCAGAAGGGCTTGGGCCTGGGATGCAGCACGAGTCTCCAGGAGAATAAGTGCAAAATGTTTGAATCAGGCGCTTGGAAGGGCTGTAAGGAAGCCAGGCTAGCTTCTCAGCCCTTTTCAGAGAACGCCCACAGTTCTTTTTCCAAGGCAGGTGAAATGAGAGTATAAAAACGATGAAATGTTTGCAGGGGCTGTGTCCACACCTCAGCAGTCCACACGAGGTTGCCCTCTGGGGTGGTGCAGGCCCTAAGGAAGGGGAGGCATCGGTGAGGCACCTGGAGAGGTGAGACACTAGGGAGGGAGGAGAAAAGTGGCCTGGGAGAAGATGGACTGTCTCAAGGGCTCTTTGCTCCCCAGCAGAAACCTCAAACAGGCAGGACAAGGTTATCCATGTGGCTCAGCAGGGTCCAGGCCAAGGTACACCACCTTTTCTTGGGTGGCCATGAAAATGTTGTCATTTCTTTTAAAATCAGAATACATAAGTGACATTTTAGGTTAAAAAATGTTTTAATATGTAACATTAATATGTTTGTCTTTGTGCCAACAGTCTTAAAGTATTATTTTTACATATATATATAATTTTTTTTTTTTTTTAAATGGAGAAAGGAGTCCACCGAGGCAAAGCTGTGTACTGCCCAGGAAACCTTAACTGGGTCCTGCAAACACTTACCGGCTTCTTCCATGGTGGGTGCTCGTCCCTGCTCACTCTTCTGGGCCACAAGGGAGGAAACCTCCCACCCCTCTTCTCTGGGGCTCCCGCACCAATTTTCCGTTCTTCTACCCTTAGCAAACAGAGCTCAAAAGAAAAAAAAAAAAGAAAACGGAACAAAGAATGCAAACGCCTTGGCACCAACTTCACTTTCTCAGCCATCTGTAAGTCCCAGGCCTCTCTTTTGTCTTGCTCTCGGCCCTGAGCGTTTCCAGACTCTCGAAAGCCTGACCTGGGAGGGGACACTGGAATCAAGCAGTTGACCGACCCCCTCTCCCCAACACACTCGCCACCCGTATCACGGGAATGGCGGTGGGGGGTCGGCGCTGTGGGAGAGACTGGGACTCAGATGAGGCCTGCGGGAGAGGAGGGGTGCGGGGCTCGGGCTGGAAGGCAAGGCTGGCCCAGAGTGCGGAGGGGCCCGGTGCGCATCTCTCCCCCGCGCGGCCCGGGGTTGGCACTGCCGCCCTCCCGCGGGTCCTGTGGCCGCGCTGACCGACCCTGCCTCTGCGGGGCTCGCTCCCGGGCCTGGCTCGGGGCCGCCGCTGCTGCCGCCGCCCCCCCGCCCCCCGCCCCCCGCCTCCCCGCGCGCAGGCTGTCTCCAGTCGCAGCCACTGGGTAGCGCTCGGCCCCCCTCTCCGCGTCTCCGCCTCCGCCTCCGCCGCGCTCGTCCCCGGCTCACGCGGCCCCCGCAGCTCCGGCTCGGCGCAGGCAGGAGCGGCTCTCCGGACGCCGAGCCCGGGAAGCGGAGGGCGGCGGGCTCGGCGAGCGGCGGCAGCGGCGGCTGCCGAGGCGGGCGGCTGCGGCGGCGCGCCCAGGCGGCGGGGCGGGCGCGGCGGCCGCTGCTCCTCGGGCCCGGGCGGCCGGCGAGCGCCGGGCGTCCGAGGAGGCGCCGCGCACCCGGAGCCGGGGCTGCCCGCCGGGCTCTCCGCGCGTCTTTCCGAAGAGCTCCGGCCGGGGCGCGGCGGAGGGCAGCGCCGCCCGGCTCCATCGTCGGCCGGCAGGAGGCTCCGTGCCCGGGCGCCGGGGACAGCCCGGGCCGCCCAGCCCAGCCCAGCAGCCGTCCCCGCCGGCCCGCAACCGGCACGGACATGGGCGCGCGGGGCTGCGCACCGGGCCGCGGGACCCGCAAAGTTTGCTAGCCCGCTGGGCGCGGAGCCGAGGGCGCGCCCGGGCCCGGCGCCGCCGGGAGGGACCGAGCGTCCCCGGATCGGGCGCCGGGGCGGTGGAGCCGAGAGGGGCGGCTCGGCCCCGCCAGATGCCGCCTGCAAAGTTAGAGAGAAGAAAACTTCAGCTCCGGGGAGATTCGGCCCGCTATGCTAGCCGCGCCCCCCGAAGCCCGCGCCCCTGAAAGAAGCCCCGCGTCCGCGTCGGCCGCCGCGCTCGCTTCCCGCCCGGCCCCGGGCCCCAGACGCCGGGATCGGCGGTGACTGCGTCCGCTCGGAGAACCCAACCAGGGGGCGGGGAGGGGGCGGGGGGCGGGCAACGTGGCCACGGGAGGAAGTTTCCTGAAGTTGCCGGTTTATTCCGGAGCGCGGCCCGCGACCCGACTGGTTCGCGGAGGCCGCCCCGCCTCGGAGAAGTCGGAGTTGGGGTGCTCGGGGAGGGAGGAGCCCCCGAATCCGAGAGCGGGCTTTTCCTCTTTCTCTTCGCTCGCCCCTCGCCTTCCGGGCGCGCCGCCGGGATCGGACTTGGACCGCTGACGAGAAGGAAGGGTTGGGGTCGCTGGCGTCGCCCCTCCTGGGCATATACCGGCTCCGGCCCGAGCCGCGTGGACAGTCTCCCGGGACGAAGCCGCGGAGTTCCAGGACCACCCCCCCGGATTATAAAACAGTGCGAAGCACCACCCTCCAAAGCTGATCACCATGTGGGGGCTGCTGATATGGACGCTGCTGGCCCTGCACCAGATCTGTGCGACCGGAGCCCAAGGTACGGAGGGCCACCCCATGGGGGGCTGGGGAGGGGGCTGCGGCGGGGGGCACTCTGGCCACACGGTGCCCACCTGGACACGGGGCTTAGCCTGGGCAGAGCCCTCTCCAGGGAGTTTCAAGACACCCCCCCTTCAGTTGGGGGCTCTCTTTCGGGGGGGGGGTGGGGCCGTCTTTCTGAGACTTGTGGCTTCCTGAAGAGGGAAGGCGGGGGTCCGTGGAGGGCGGCGTCGTCCGGGGTGAGGTGAGGGGTAGCGGACCCCTCCCGCCGTGGGTGCCCTCGGGCCGGCGTGGGAGGGCGCGCCGTTCGGTGCCGGGCTCAGCGCCCGCCTCCCCGAGCTCCTCAGCCCGGGCTCCGAGTCCCCGCCTGGGGTCCGCGGGAAGAGCCAGGCCCTGCCGAGCAGGCGCGGGCCGCCCGGGGCCGAGGGAGTGGGGCGGGAGGACGGCGGCAGGAGCCCCAGTCGGGCGCGGGGAGCCGGGCTGGTCGCCCCGGGAGGGCAGTTGCCGGGCCTGGCCGCCTGGCCGCCGCCGGGGCTGGGGGTGCTCGGCGGAGAGGGGCCTCGAGCCCGTGTCGCGCGTGCAACCGCGGACCCAGCGCGGGGTGGTGCGCGGGGAGGGTTTGAGGCGTCTCCCCTCCCGCCCCCAGACGCACGCAGCATCCTGCCTTTGCCCCCCGCTCCACCGGCCGCTCCTGTCTCTGACCTGTAGCTGCCTGGAGCAGCCTCGAGGTGGAGAAGGGCTGCTTTGGGGCGGTGGGTGGAAGCGTTAGGAGGGAAGGGGAGGCGTGATCCGCGCTGCGCCCCTCCAGAGGGCGGATGCCCAGACATCCCCCCCTCCATCCCTAGTCCTCCGGCAGGTCCCAGCGGGGGAGGGCGGCTGCACCGGCGCTTCCTTGCCTTTGGGGTTCGCAGATCCAGACAGTGGTGCCAGCGGTGTCCGAGCGGCGCCTGCTGGGGGCGGAGGGAGACGAAACCTGGACCAAGCTTCAGGACTGGAGAGGCTTGGCCTCCCCCTTCCAGGCTCGGGAGCATGCCTGGACCCACCCGGGGCGCGGGAATGTGGAGGCTCTGTCTCGAACCCGCCTCACCCCAGCTCTGGGGTCTCCGATAGGCGGCGGGGGTGAAGGGACCCCACTGCGCCCAGCGTCAGGCAGTCCAGAGAGCCAAGATCAAAGAGATGAGAATATCAGCTCTCACTCACGGGGTTGAGGGGAGGATTTTACAACGTAATTTATGTTAAAGCACTTAGAAATTTTGTAAGGGACCCTGTAAATGTAAGGTAATAAAAGTTATTATTAGTTTTATGATCATCATAAAATCTTCTAGCAGAGGTGGACCTTAGAGGCCGGCCTACTCTAGAAACCATTTAACAGATAGGTAAACTGAGGTCCAGAGGCATTAAATGACTTACCCAAGGCTGTTGGCTGATCTGGGGACAGAGTCAGGGACCAGGTGAGTTCTGGGCCCTTGTCTCTCTTGGAACCGGGACCATCCACAGCTGCAGTGGGTTTGCTAGGGGCCTGGCCCTTCTTCTAAGGGTCCTGAGAGGACCTCGAGGCCACAGAATAGGATGGGGGTGTAGCCTTCCCTGCGGCATCTCACAGATTTGCTCTGAGATGCCCCGGGGGCTACGAGCTGAAAGCCAGGGGACAGGGAGGGCTCTGGGGGTGTCAGCCCATCTGGAAGCATTTGGCTTAATTGCTCTACGGACTCTGGCAGTGGCATGATTTTCCGGGGCAGGTGGCTCACTAGTTCTTGCCTGTGCAGGGCCAGGCCCATAAAGAGTCCCTGGGGCACGGGAAGGTCCTTCCTGGGTTATCAAGCCTCTGTCATGTCCCAGCCAATACTGTCCCATCCACTTGAGGCCAAGACTGAGCAGTCCAGTGGAAGTTAAGATCCGGCCACCTCCTGTCTCTGTCCTCCTGCTGGAGGGGCTCACCCTGTCATCATCGATGAAGCTCTCTGATTGATTTCCTCCCTCTCTGCTTCTCTTGTTTGCTGCCTTTCTGAATGAAGCTGCCCCCATCCCCTGCTGCTCCATTTGTGTTCTCTGGCTCCGAGAGAGTGTTTTCCAGCAGCCATGGGTACCCTGGGTTTGTCTCCTGGTGGCAGACCGTGCAGGGGATTGTGGGAACTTGGTTTCGGCCGGACTCAAGGGCAGTGCTGATTGCACGTGGGGGTGGAGGGAGGGGGCAGGGACAGGCCACAGAGGTTCGGGGGTCCTTTCCTGTCTGCTTTGGGGTTAGAGGATGGAGTTTCTCCTTGGCGTCTGAGTTTGCAGCCTTGCCCTTGGTCCTCTGGGATAGTTGAAGCCACTGGCCCTGTTTGTCCCTTCTGAGCCTGTGAGCCACATTCTCCAGTCATGACATAGAGTGAGGGACAAGGTGGCCTTCGTCCCCACAACAGACCTCACCTTGGCTGCCGCTGGATTTGGGCTAGACTCTGGCCAGTGTTTCAGCTGCTGGACCCAGGCATTGCCACCTGCGTATATGGAATGCCACCGTTTAACCATGTCCCTGGAAATTCACACGCACTTCCGGAGCTAAGCGCAGTGATGCTGTAGGAAAGGGGATTGCCGGTCTTTGGTGGAGACATAGCAAGTGCCTGGCACTTAGAAGGTGCTTCATAAAGTGTAATTGTTTTTACCACGACGATGATGATTGTTCTTACACCATAAGCCGAAGGACCGTGAGGACCAGCTCTGGCCACCCACCAGAAAGGGCTCGCATGCCTTCTCCTCACCCAAGACGCTTCTTTTACCTCCTACTTCCTCCGAGGCTGTGTCGCTCTGTCTGCCGTGGCCCTCGGGCTCCCCTCCCAGGTGCTCCGCCTGGAAACGTCTGGGTGAGCCTGGATGGCTGCATTTTGGCCTGCTTCTCAAAAGACACTTCGGGTGCCACGAAAATTAATTTCTGGTGGACATCCTAAGGAGGCCCAGGGGCTGGAAGGAGGGCAGTAGCAGCCCAGCCAGCTGGTCCAGAAGGTTCTTTCGAGAGAATGGTGCCTGGGGGTGGGGAGGGACAGAAGGGAGTGTGAGTGGAGTGGAACAGGCAGTGTGGAAAAGCCCAGCCTGGGAGGCTCCTGAAGGCTCCAAAGGGAGAAAGTTTAGTGCTGGGAGCTAATCACAATAAAAGCCAAACAGCACTCGAGGGAGCGGGATGAAAGTTTAATTACATGGTGTGGCTAAGCTGTAATTATTAATTACTGACAGCAAAAAATAACTTATTGATCAGGGCCTCTTGCTAATTACCACAAGGCCGAGTGTCGTTCTTGCCTGGGGCACAGCCGGTACGCGTCAAAGCCCCACGCAAGAGGGGGCTGGGGGCGTCGCTGCTCCCTTCTGTGGCTCTCTGACCTGCACCCCTCTCTTCCTCACCCTGTGCGCCCCTTAGCTTCAGCTGGGGAGTCTGGAACATTCGGGCTGTGGCCAGATGGGTGACACACTTTGGTGTTTCTCCTGGTTGCAGGATACGGCCTCTGTGTGGGAAGAGAAAACTCGGGACCCCTACCCAGAGGCCGAATCACGCTGGCAGCCAGACACCTGCCTCAGAAACCCTCCCTCTCATGCATTTGTTCGGCAAATGGTTATCGACCGCTCTCTCCCTTATGTCCTCTACTGGAAGGCCAAAGTAGGGGCCAGGAACCTTGTTTCATCAGGGAAGGGCGGCTGGGAAAGAGGCCAAATCCTTTACAGCAGTTCTCTGTTTAAACAGTGCCTGAACGGCCGACTTTAAAATGATGTGTTAAACTGCATATTGGTATGCATTTGACTTTGTACCACAGGACGCAGTTGGGCTGTAAGTTAAACAGTAAGGGAATGAACTTGTTCTTTGTCCTGAGGACTAGAATGAATCCATGCATCGGACTTGAAATAAACACAAGAAGCCAGCTGGTGTTGTCCTCTGCCCATGAACCTGGGACAAGTGGCCGTCTAGTGTCTGCTTGTATACCCCTGGTGATGGGGGACTCACTACCTTACAAAAGAACCTGGTTTTTTGTGTCCCTGTGGCCGATGATCCTGGGATTTGGCTGTGGTTGAAGAAGTCCTCTGATTGGCTGGGACACCTCTTCCCCAGTCCTTCTGACTCCCTGCCCCTCGGGGAGTCGGGAGCCTGAGCTGGAATTGATGTTGGGTGTTATGGGGCTGCCTGGGGGATTTCCTCCCCGGCTCCCCTTGGAGCACACTGTCACAGAGGGCCCTCATGCTGCCTAAAACGGTGGGAATTAGTCATCATCATTCGGGGCCTAGGGATGCCAATAGCAACAAATGGGCCACGAGCGACTGCCGGCAGCAGCCCCACTGCCTGTAATGGAAAAGAAAACAAGCTATTGCTGAGGCATCCGGGTTCCTCCTCGTGGCCGCCCCCCTCTGCTGTCCACACACTGGGCAGAAGGCAGGGCCAGTGTCCAGCAAGGGGCCATCTGGGGCTGCTCAGGGTCCTGGGCGGGGGGAGAGGGCGAGGAGGGGCCTGCACAGCTGGTCTCATTAGACTCCCCAGCCAGGTATCTGGTCCAGAAAGCCCCCCTCTGAGCCCTATGGGGGGATCCCTCTCCTGCAGGTATCCACAGGGACCTGGTGGGGAGTTCCCAGGCCCTGCTTCCACCACTGAGTGACCTGGAGCCGAGACTCTTCTCGTCTGTGGAATGTGGAGGCGGTTAAAAATCACTCTCTCTACTGTGTAGGGTGGTTTAGTTTTTGGATGTTAAATGAGATAATCCTAATCGCTTTCGACTGTTCTCGGTAACTGCTAAGTGCTGAGGATGCGCCGGCCACAAGGCTGGGAGGATGTCCTGACCCACGCCTCCCAGCTCCCTGCTCCCCTCCAACATCTCACCCACTCTGCCCACTGCACTGACCACTTCCCTGTTCCCAGAACTGCCTGGTCGCTCTCTGGCCTCCCGCCTGGCTCCCAAAGGTCCTGCCATCCCTGTGTCCACGCCCGGTCCTCCCCAATATCTGCAAGGCCCCGTCCTTGTTTCCTTGAGGACTTTAATCTCATGT